TTTAACGTGCGCAACTTGCACACGGGCCCTCCGAGATTTTTCGCCCTTGTCCGAGAAGGCTAGGTGTAGATCTTTCCTACCAGAAGATCAGAGGTGTGGCAGAAAGACAGCAGTAAGGAGGAGCCAAGGAGTAGCAGTAGAAAGGCTGCAGAAAGAATCAGGAGCCCAGAAGAGGGGGCAACGGCGGGGAGGGGGTGGGGGCAGAAAGTGGAAATGAAAGCAGACAACCGAACATTGGTAGAGAGCAGGAAAGGAGGTGAAAGAAGACAATTTTAGAGAAGAAAACTTTTTGGTCGCTACCCGGAATCGAACACGGGACCTTTGAATGAGAGGCCAACACCTTAACCTCTAGGCCACGAGAGCCCCCCTTACAAGACCTTTGGAGTTATATATAGATACATACTCTAAAGAGCAATACACGTTATAAAGCTTATTCTAACAAAAGCCTTATGCTAGATTGGTAAAAAAAACCTTCTGTTATATCCTTTTTTCTTTGATTTTGGAGGTACAGATCTGCCCCTGTGTGATCTTACAATTTGCGTGGAAAGGGGGGTGTGATGGGTCGTTTATAATACTTTTTTATCTTTTATATACTTGTGGTATTATACATTCGTCAATGCTAGTAAAATAATATCCAGAGATTTTGCTGGCTTTCTCAGTGGCAGTAAGCTAAGAAAACAAAATTTTACTGGAAAATGAAAAAAACCCCAACCTATTTCATTTCTGTAACAATTAAATTGTACCGACATTCCGCCATTATGTGTGTTTCTTGGTTTTTTTTGGTCCAACATTTAGAATTAAAATTTCAACAACAAACATGGTCTACCACATGCAACCGATATTACAGAATAAGAAACTTTAAAAAAAGTAATGGACCTAATACTAATAAAAACAAAAACAACAACCAATAAATACTTTTTTCAAAAATTGGGCAGAACATTAATATTACCAACAGCTGGTCGTCGATCGATAATTAATGTATTTTTGTTATGTTTTGTTTTTGTTTTGTTTGTTCGTTTGTTTGTTCGTTTGTTTGTTCGTTTGTTTGTTTGTTTTAAGAACAAGTTTTTCACCTCAATCATTTGGAACTGGGATTTTGGCAGGCCAAAATTGGCGAGGCGGATTCCTCTGTCGTGGATCGTCCATTCTTCTTTTCCACCGATTGGGCTGTCCATCCTTGTCAACTCAAACCCGGATACCCTCATGCTGGCTTCGTTTGACATCCAGATGAAGGAAATAGTGCAGCGTTGTTGGTCGAATGGGAAGTACGTCGAATCAAATCTGGTGGAAAGACGACATGGGGTGGAGCAAGCAGAAGAAACCATAACGTTTCCATCGCTGTATAGATAGATGTGGGTGGTTGGCGGGTATTCTAACTCTTATGTGGTTTGCTCCTTCTTTTCCTATGAAACATCGATCGTCCTTATCTCTGCTCCTTCATTTTTTATGTAGCCTCTGTTATACAACTGCGTCCAAAAGAAACTTGAAAATTTAATTACCCAAGCATCGCGTCAAAGCCTTGTACTACCCACTCATGCAGCACAGCATTTTAAAGCTAAATAAATTCTGCGTCATCTGACACAATACTATTTCATTTATGGTAAGAGACGGCCGAGATATGGTCGCTCAAAATTGACCTTAAAAAAAAAATCAGGCTTTGCAAAATTGTGCGAAATCGAAGAAAAGTAAAAGTGTGTTCGCGTGTATACTGAGGTGCATCAGCACTGGTGGAATGAGCTTGTTTTGAATATCAAATGCAAAGAGAATATTATTGCCTCTGCGTGCAATGAACAGCATCTTCTAATGGTATTTTGTAACAGATTGGAAAACAGAGCACGACACCTTTTCTTGAACACGGACTGTGTTAGTTCGACTTTTGACATAACCATCTGTCATGAGGAGCAGGGGCCATGCAACTGTCATAGTTAATTTTTTTATTTAAAAAAATTATAGTAGAAGGTTTTACGGCGCTCCCAACTGCATAAGGTCATATGCGCCAAGGGGTGGATGTCAACAGAGAAGTCTTTACAGGGAATCAGACTTAGACTGCTCATCTCTCTAGCTTAACAAGACAAGGTTTGCTTCGACTATCAAGGCACCCCAAAATAGCAGGTCGCAAGAGAGTGACAAACATACAAAAGAAGTAGAGGAAAATGACAATAGTAAGGATCAGGAAAGAAAAAGCAGCAGTTCCCTGTTGTAGATCAGGCACAGTTATGAGCGTGACATGAATCAGCCCATTTACAATTCTACTGTGCTTGAACAAGAAATGTCCCCCCTTTGGGAATGGCCTAAAGACACTTCAGTCAGTGGCACTGCCCCAGTGGGTTGAAAATTCTGTGACCAGTATCGCTTTTGTGCACAGCTTTTAAACATGCACATGTGCCATCAGTACCAGACACAAAGCAAAGACCAATACTACGGTAGAAACAGCATCATCTGTTGTGATGAAAAAGAAAAAAAAACAACCCGAGCAGACTATTCACAAGAAATAAACTGACAGACGCAAAATTTTTCTGAAACATTTCACTCACCTCGGATCGATAATCTGGCACTTCAAACTGAATGACCCGCTGCAACGCTTGGAGGGCAAATTTTCTCACCACCACTTTGGAATCCTGCGCGCGTCGTCGAAACATGGAGACGACACCCTCTGGATCAGGCAAATCTGGGGAACGTCCCAATGTTTCAGGTTTGTTTTAGTAAGAGTTTTACGGCGCTCGCAACTGAATAAGGTCATATGGGCGCGCGAGAATGGTTGGTTCTGTTCACAACAGTACACTGCAGAGCTCGATTCTGGTCTACACCTCTTTTTAAAGGTTAAAATACAAAAAATTTAATGTAAATAAACTAATTTAAAAAAACTTTCTAAATAATATTACATTTTTTGAAAACAGATCTTGCAATTTTTTGCATCTAAAATATTTCCTTCGGGTTTCTACGAAGTATAGACATTCTGTTAAAATGTGTCTAATGGGAGTTTCAGGTTTGAACAGACAAAATGATCAAAACTCTAAAACAAACAATACCTAGTTCTCTGAATCTTACACCAATCATACTTTTTATTTGCTGCGTGTCCTTTTCCAAAAGTATAAACATGTATTATAGATCTAGTCATATATGGTTTACTAAAAGACAGCATTTATTATTACATTCAATTATTCTTCTCGTTCATCTCTAAATGAACATCCTTGTCTCTAGTGCGATAAGATGCTGTCCACAGCAGGTCCTCCAGGCTCCCATAGAGTTTTGGGTCTCTCTGCCTAGGGTTGGGCAAATATTTCGTTCTAAATGCCATTCAATAATTCAAATGACTTCAAAATTCCTTGTGAATCATTTTTTTCTCCTCAAATTTTTGAAATTACTTTAAATAATAACTCAGAAGTGGCCTGAACGCGGGACTATCTGGACATTTGGCAGCCTGGAAGAAGTAGGAACAGACCACATCTCAACACCTGTCAATCTTCCACAAAAATCTCCCACACATATGATCACACAAAAGATCACACAAATCTCCCACACATATGACCACACAAACCTCCCACCATATGATCACACAAACCTCCCACACATATGATCACACAAACCTCCAACACATATGATGACACAAACCTCCCACACATATGACCACACAAACCTCCCACCATATGATCACACAAACCTCCCACACATATGATCACACAAACCTCCAACACATATGATGACACAAACCTCCCACACATATGACCACACAAACCTCCCACCATATGATCACACAA